ATTATTAAAATGGAGAAACCTTATTCACAATTGAACTATAAACTTATATTGGAAAAGATCTATGAAGCTACTGAAGAAATATGTGCTATAAAGGGATTTCTACAGAATTAAGAGTCAGAAGCCATATTCCAAACCTTCAAACTGACTTTCAGACCACATCTGACTTCTACAAACCAAAACATACTAGAAGAGGATTTAATCGAGACTAAGAGGAATTTACTTTACCCTATAAGCATTTCATCTATACCTTTGAGGATCAGAAAAATCAAAGATTGAGATTTGAGCCTTTAAAGCAACGAAGCTTTAAAGATAAAAGAAACAGACGCCCAATGCAGAGGACAGGATGCTTCTTACTGTCTCAGATGATGCTACAAGCAACAAAGAGAGACTTATTGGTTGAAAGGGATGCTTTGTTATGGAAACTTGACTGGCACAAAAAAAAGGCCAGAATAAGATTGAAAAGTTAAATTCAAAATTACATGTGATAGATCAAAGGCACTGTATAATTATGGATTGATTTAAGGATTAAGATTTGGAGTTAGAAGTAAGAGAAAACTGGGTGATTATTAGAATATATATTTTAAATAGATTAAGAATGTATTCTTTGGAATAACAGGTTTATTTGTATAATAACTACTCTGTAATGGAATGAAGAAAACTGAAAAGGCGTTTTAGATCTGGATTGATTTAATAATTAACTGAGTATGGTAAATTAGTAAGATGAGGTTTTTGCCTGACAATATGGACGTTATTAAGTATGATAATTAACTAGATGAAATTTGAATTTGGTCTAATGGGCTAAAATGATTTAAGGTTTGATATTACTTTGTTATTTTGTTATCTTATGGAGATTGATTGATTGATTTTATATATATGTATATATATATAGGATAGATTAATATTTTATTTTAATTAGGAGATATATTGTGTAGTGGAAGAAGAAATAAATGAGATTTGTGATAAAATTAAGGATTTAAGAGACTGAGATCTAGAATGTATTTGGAAGGGATACCTGAATTGATAATCTGTTTCTTTAAAGTCAAATTTGATTATGCTAATTGTAAATTCACAAAGCTCAAATACAGGTTTAGGATTGTTAGAAATTTAAATTAGAAATGGATTATTTTAAATGCATTAGGTTAATTGAGGGAAATAGAAAGGGAATATTTAATGTATTGATTTGAGTTATTCATATATGGTTTTATTTCTAGATGTTTGATTACCCCAGCACCATGGTGAGTCTTAAGCACTTTGTTTTAAGACTCAAAAAACCAATAAAATTTGTTTTTAAAAAAACAAACACTCTTTTCCAACAACCCAAGAGACAGCTCTACACATGGACATCACCAGACGGTCAACACAGAAATCAGATTGACTATGTGCTCTGCAGCCAAAGATGGAGAAACTCTATACAGTCAGTAAAAATAAGACCAGGAGCTGACTGTGGCTCAGATCATGAGCTTCTCGTTGCAAAATTTAGGCTTAAATTGAAGAAAGTAGGGAAAAGCACTAGGCCACTCAGATATAAACTAAATCATATTCCTGAGGAATATATAGTAGAGGTGACAAATAGATTTAAGGAACTAGATCTGATAGACAGAGTACCTGAAGAACTATGGAAGGAGGTTCGCAACATTGTACAAGAAGTAGCAACTAAAACCATCCCAAAGAAAAAGAAATGCAAAAAAGCAAAATGGCTGTCTGAGGAAGCTTTGCAAATAGCTGAGGAAAGAAGGGACGTGAAAGGCAAAGGAGAAAGAGAAAGATACACCCAATTGAATGCAGAATTCCAGAGAATAGCTAGAAGAGATAAGAATACCTTCTTAAATGAACAGTGCAAAGAAATAGAAGAAAACAACAGAATAGGGAGGACCAGAGATCTCTTCAAGAAAATTGGAGATATGAAGGGAACGTTTCATGCAAAGATGTGCATGATAAAGGACCAAAATGGCAGGGACCTAACAGAGGCAGAAGAGATTAAGAAAAGGTGACAAAACTACACAGAAGAACTATACAAGAATGAGCTTAACGTCCCAGATAACCACGATGGGGTGGTCACTGACCTCGAGCCAGACATCCTAGAATGTGAAGTGAAATCGGCCTTAGAAAATCTGAGCAACAACAAAGCTAGTGGAGGTGACAGTATTACAACTGAGCTATTCAAAATCTTAAAAAACGATGCAGTAAAGGTACTACACTCAATTTGCCAGCAAATTTGGAAAACTCAACAGTGGCCACAGGATTGGAAAAGATCAGTTTACATTCCAATTCCAAAGAAAGGCAATGCCAAAGAAAGTTCAAACTATCACACCCTTGCACTCATTTCACATGCTAGTAAAGTTATGCTCTCTTGAGAAACCTATATGTGGGTCATGAAGCAACAGTGAGAACTGGACACGGAACCACTGATTGATTCAAAACTGGGAAAGGAGTCCGGCAAGGCTGTATACTATCGCCCTTCCTATTTAACTTATATGCAGAGCACATCATGAGAAAGGCAGGGCTAGATGAATCAAAAGTTGGAATTAAGATTGCCGGAAGAAATATCAACAAAATATGCAGATGATACCACTCTAATGGCAGAAAGTGAAGAGGAACTAAAGAGCCTCTTGATGCGGGTGAAGAAGGAGAGTACAAAAGTTGGCTTGAAACTCAACATTAAGAAAACCAAGATCATGGCATCCGGCCCTCTCAATTCCTGGCAAATAGATGGGGAAGAAATGGAGGTAGTGACAGATTTTATTTTCCTCAGCTCCATGATCACCTCAGATGGGGACTGCAGCCAAGAAATTAAAAGATGCTTGCTCCTGGAGAGGAAAGCTATGGCAAATCTAGACAGCATACTAAAAAGCAGAGACATCACCCTGCCAACAAAAGTGCGTATAGTCAAAGCCATGGTTTTCCCAGTTGCAATCCATGGATGTAAAAGTTGGACCATAAGAAAGACTGAGCGACAAAGAATTGAGGCCTTTGAACTATGGTGCTAGAGAAGATTCCTGCGAATCCCTTGGACTGCAAGGCGTTCAAATTGGTCAGTCCTAGAAGAGATCAACTCTGACTGCTCTTTAGAAGGCCAGATCCTGAAGTTGAAACTCAAATACTTTTCCACCTAATGAGAAGGAAGGACTCACTGGAGAAGGGCCTAATGCTGGGAAAGATTGAGGGCAATAGAAGAAGGGGACGACAGAGAATGAGATGGCTAGATGGAGTCACTGAAGCAGTAGGTGTGAACTTAAATGGACTCCAGAAGATGGTGGAGGACAGGAAGATCTGGAGGAACATTGTCCATGGAGTCGCGATGGGTCGGACACGACTTCACAATTAACAACACCATCAACAAGTCAAAACCCAATTTTCTTCAGTCTTATTCTAGCTTTCTTTCTTTGCCAAATCATCTTCCATGTCCATGCTTTTGAGTCATCAAATAAATCTCCCTGTGTTGTTATATATATTGTTTGATGTAGAAAAAACCATCCAGTCGCCATTTTTTTTTAGAAGACTAACAAGTCTTATCTATAGTTTGGGCTGCTGGCCAAGTCTCTTTTAAGCAATAACAAGTTGTAATATCAGGTTTAGCCTCAAGATGTCGCCCTTATCATTTAAAGTTTTCTTTTAAATCCAAAGTTTTTATAATCTTTTCAGTTTTGCTTCTTTTTTATAAGTAACCCAGATCCTCAGTAAGAATAAAAAATGTTTTAGTCCACAAACTTTAAAAAATAAAATTCCAATTAGGATCAAGTTATTCTTACAACGTTTTAAACTCCCCTGGATAGTCAGTCGCCACTGTTTTTAGGGGGAGTGGTAAAATCTCCCTTCCCTCTCCACAGGGGGAAAGTACCTTAAACAGCTTATGCAGATAAAAACAATAGTTAGGATTCAAGAGAGGTAGACCTCACCCAGTCTCATCTGCACTGCTTTATAATTGCCTGATGGTAAGTGTAACTTCGACCTAGTGACAAGCCATATTGCTATGGACGGTCTTTCATCCGCCGGTTTGGAGGGATACCCCGGATTGAGTGGAAGGGCTACCGCCCTCCTGCGATCAAACGGGGATCCCCTCCTTGCTGGACACCCCTACAGGAAGACTTTTGATCCTTTCCAGGGTTCCCCGCAAAGTGAAACTGGACGCGGAAGATGGAGCTCACCTTCCAGACACCCATGGTGGCCACATCAGCAAACCGGAAGCCCTTAATGAATTTCTTTCTTATGCCTTTCATTTTCAGATTCTACTATTCTATGGGGGGGGGAAAGCTTGTGCTTAGAAGGGGGCACGACCTATGGGTCTTCTACAATGTATTTCCTTTGCTTTGTTCTACCCTCTTTGAGGTATGTTACTTGGGGTGTGAAAGGAATGTGCCTCCAGCCATTTATCGTATCTCCAGTTGGATGAGAAGAAGCCGCAGAGAAACCTGACAGCCTTGAGAATGGCACCTTATTGCTTGTTTCCCACAATAACTTAACACCTATGGATTGATTCAATTCAAACCGGATAGTTGGACATTTGGGCTGGGATTTGAAAGAGTTCTTTTAATGTAATGTTTCGTGTGGGAAATCCTCAGATCCTGCCTTATTCTCCTGCCATCAATACCTTCCAATAAAAGTGCCTGTTGAGATAATGCGAGTTTCAAGAGTTCTGCTTTCTTGGGAGAATTAATTGAGGCAGGCAGTACCAGAGGGCAGGACAAGAAACAATGGATGGAAACTAATCAAGGAGAGAAGCAACCTGGAATTAAGAAGAAACTTCCTAACCAATGGAACAGTTTGCTGTCAGAAGTTGTGGGTGCTTCATCACTGGAGGTTTTTAAGAAGATACCACACAATCACTTGTCAGAAATGGTGTAGTGGGTTGGACTAGAAGACCTTGAAGGTCCCTTCCAACTTTATTCTGATTCTCACGTAATGAATGCTTTTTCAGGAACAATGCATGATATTATATTTAACAAACAGACCATATCAATTACCAGGAAAAATGCTCAACAAAAAGATATATCATAACTTACCCCTATCTCCATGTACCTTTCCATCATAATTTTTGATTAATTCTTCAATAAATGTTCCATCCTGATCAAGCACTTCATCACCCATATAAGGAATGTTATGTAAAACTGTTTCATCCTCTACCTAAAAAAATATTGAAATATGCAAAACATTTTGCTTTTGTGAATAAAGATAACATGTAAATAAGGAAACAAAAATATATCATACAGAAAAAGTCAAAATGATATTCTGCCTTACAAATTACCATTGACAATATTTTTTATTATGGTAGCTGTCATGATCTCAAGTCTCTCTCCGCCACTTTCTCCTTCTCCCTCTCTCAGGAAAAGGCTGCTTCAAAAGGAAAATATTCTCTATTTTCTGACTTTTTTGTCAGTTTCCAGCAAAAAAATCACCATTTGGGAAAATGGATTTGCTTAATGTTTCAGTGATGAGCTTATAGTATGCTATTGCAGAAATAATAACAAAAGGAATAAATACACTAATAATAAAAAATTATAAATGTAGGTGGGCTGCCAAGTGTTCAAATTACATAATTACGGGAGCACTGCAACGTAACTTTGAAAACCAGCTGTAACTACCATTTCTTCAACACCATTGTCATAGTCACCAAAAGAATGATTGTTAAGCAAAGACTACATGTGGAAGGGAAGGGAAGGGTCTCTGTAGATTTTACTCTACTAGTCACTGCCAATTATTTCACCTCTATTTCTTTTTTAAAAAAATATGTTTTATTGATTTTTAACATACACCTTAATATTTGGTAAACGTCATGTTGTCTGGGTTTATGTTTTAAAAAAATCAATAACAATTAATTTCTATAATTCTATGATCCATATGATAGCTTTACATGATTTCCTCTTCTTCCAATAATATTCTCTTTTGCCAACCTTAAATTAATACAATTCTTATTTAAATAAATGACAATTAAATATAAACATTTTTCCTGTTTCTGCAAGTAATAACCACATCAATATAAAGCTTCTTTTCATTGATCATCTTGATTGCCTCATTATCAGTCCTGTTTAGATTCTTATTTAAATTTGTTTTCCCCAAATATTCAAAACTTTTCTTACTGGTTAAGATTTTCTCAAAATTAGTTACACTTAAATATTTAAGTCTTTTTTCTCATACAAGCCATCACATTTTTGCATTTCTCATATCTTAAAAAAAATAAGAGCAAAAAAAAAAGACAAAACAGAAAAAACATTTCTTATATATAAACCTTCCCAACATTTTTATATTTCTCATGTCAAAAAACCAAACACAAAAAAAAGAAAGAAGGCATACTGTATTACTTTAGGGGCTCATCCCTCTTAAATTAATCTTCATTTATATTTAAAATCTTTCTATTTCTTTAACCATATTCAAACAAATGTTTAATTTTAAATACTCCCTCTGGTAATTTCCATCATCTAATTTCTTAATTCTCACTTTAGCCTTTTTTTCCCCAACATCTTTCTTGTTCAATATGCTTCGGTGAGTCAGAGAGTCTTTCCATAATCTTATAAATGTTGTTGCAGGTACAAAAAGCCAAACAGGTAAGATGTTTTTATAGGAAGGTTTCACCCTTTCATGTTCATTGAAAATCTTTTCCTTTTTGTCTTTCTTGATTTTATTTATTATTTTTTGTCTCTCAAGATCTCATAATTCTTCTGGCAAAATCTATTTTACCAATTTTTTCTTGTCCTCAAACTTATTTCGTAATGTTAAAATGTAGTTTGTCTTTTCCATATCCAGAGTTTCTTGAAATTTGTTTCCCATCTGGATTAAGTCATATTTCCTTGTATTGTTAAATTCCATCTTGAAATCTCTCTCCTCTGTTTCGTAGTCAGTTGTCTGTTTTTTTCTGCTCACTTTCTATTTTTATTTTCTGAGAATTTTTATGTTGTAAACTTAAATTGGAGATGTATTCATTTATGTTTTCAAGGTTATGTTTAATTTCCTCGTGGTTTGAGATTATTGTTGTTTGAATTAGTTGCAACATAGCATAGATCTCCTTCTGGAAAGTTTTTTTTTTCTTGGTATACTCTTTTTGGAGATCTCTGGTTTTCCATGATAGCCAAAAATCAAAGTTTTCTTTTCTCTGCAGACAGCTTAAGAGTCACAATTGAGTTAGTATTTGTAATCCAGAAAGGTCAATTCTTTTTTTTTTTTTTAGAATTTATAATTATCACTTTGTAGAAATCCAAGATGTTTTCTTTTTGTCACAGCTATTCTTTGTTATTAAGAGATTGAAGGTCACTAAAATCAAATTTATTTTTTCCTGGGCTTTGCCAGTCTCTGTAGTAAAGCAGCTGTTGTTGTATATTTTCATCTGCCACTGGATTCAGCAACAGTTTTCAGAAATAGGCAATTATTTACTTCTATTTTCATGATATAAAAAGAAAATCTTAATAGATTCCACTGATTTCAAACTTATCCAAATTAAATCTTATAGTCTTTTCATTTCAATATATTTTTATTCCTCCTGAAAGGTTTAATTTGCCACTTCCATCTGCAGGAGGGTGGGGCAAAAGTCCCCCTCCTTCTCACTTTTGGAGTTTTTTGCTTTGGGGTTTTTTTCTTTTTCTTTTTTCAGGAAATCAATTTCAAAATAGGAGAAAGAAAATCACTGTTCTTACTCAGTTCCAAACATGTTGTTTACAGTCAGCTTAAAGTAGTACTGCCGATTTCTGGAGGGCTTTTCACAAACCGATTGACCACCATCTCTCCACAATCGGCAGGACTTCCTTCTGTGTGGCCTCTACGGGGCAACTTAAGGCCCAGTTAGGGTCCCTTGGCAGGCAGAAATCAGCCATAGGGAGTGATCCCTCAGCTGCTGCGCTTCTTCTGTTTCAATGCTATGAGCCAGCATGTCCAAAGAAATTTCTTAGGTTATGTGGCCAGCATGTCACAGAGTGCTGCTTCCTTCTCACCAAAATGGTAGGAGGAAACTTGTAGAAGACACAGTTAAAACTATTGAGCATTGATATTCTTTACTGTCACTTAGGAAATTTGAATTTACAACATAATATAAATCTGACATTCATATTTAGTATAATCCAGCAACTATATTTTACAAAGTATATTGATTTGATGATTTTAATTTCATAATTTTCAGGGTTATAATCACTTACCATAAAATTTTGTTGAAGGGGTGACCAAGAGTACATTATGGGAACTGAGGCAACAGCATTCAGAGTTTTGAGAGGAATAACTTGTTTTGGAAAGTCTAAGTCACTGCTGACAGAACACTAAGAGAAAAGATAAGTTATATAACTAATAGTAAATTGTTTTCAAATTAGATATAGCAGTAGCAAAAAACTGATTTTAGCAGAAAACAGTTTTCAAATATAATTTGAACAATTCTTAAGAAACATTAACAGAGATAAGTATACTCAGAACTACTGCTTTCACTCCTATGTATTTTCATATATATGAAATATTTATTTTATTTTTTTTCAATCATCTTCTAAGAAAACAAGGATGATAAATAGTCACGTAATGTAGAGTTTAACTGAACTGTATATGCTACTTAAACCAATGTTTCTTCTGGGAAGAGATGCATAGTGTATATGAATTTCATACATATCAAGTAGAGGAACCTTACAGATAGTCCTTGATTTATGACCATTTGTTTAGTGACTGTTCAAAGCTACAAAGGCATTTAAAAAAGTGGCTTACAACCAGTTCCCAAACTTGCAATTGTTATCAGAATCTTTGTGGTCATGTGATCAAAATTCAGGTGTTTAGCAACTGGTATATATCTATGACACTTGTGGCTTTCCTAGGTCACATGATCATTATTTTTTATTGAAAAGATTTATACAAATTTATTATTACAATACATTAACCCTCCCTCCCTCCCCCCCACCCCAACCCTCCCCCCTCACTTCCCGGAGCTGATTACAGGGTTAAAAATAAGCAAACAAATTCTAACTAAGCTTATCCAACTATACCAATAACCAAATCCCTAAAATACTTTAACTCAAATACAAACAACTCCCAATTTAAACTATAAGTTAATCAAAAACTAAATGATACTTTCTAATCCCATATTTATTCTGTACAAAATTTATCCATCTTCTCCACACCGAGATGTATCTTTCTTGTGAATGATCCTTCAAATAGGCAGAAATTTTGGCCATTTCTGCTAAATTAGAAACTTTAAATGACCATTCTTCTATGGTAGGCAAAGAATCTTTCCTCCAATATTGCCCAACCAATAACCTTGCCGCCATAATAAGATTCAACATTAAAATAGTTTCTTTAACATCACAATCTTCAATAATACCTAACAAAAACAATTGTGGTGTAAACTTTATCTTTCTATTAAAAATCTTCTGAATGTTCCACCAAATCTTGATCCAAAAAGCTTTTATATTTCTACACGTCCACCAAATATGATAATAGGTTGCATCTAAGCAACCACATCTCCAACACTTAGGCTGTAAATTAGGATACATGCGAGACAATTTTTGTGGATCCAAATGCCACCTATAAAACATTTTACAAAAATTTTCTCGTAAATTTTGAGCCTGAGTAAACTTCACATTCCCAACCCAAATTGCCTCCCATGTACCTAGTAAAATCGGCTCTTGAAAATTTTGGGCCCATTTTATCATACAATCTTTGACTAATTTCGTCTCTGAATCCAATTCCACTAATACATTATAAACTCTCTTTATATGAGCTCGACTTTGATCTCTAATTTGTTTTATCAAATTCTCATCTTCTAAAGTAATACCAACTTTTTGGTCTAAACTCTATCTATCTAACAATTGTCTATACTGAAACCAAAAGTAAACAATATTATCTTGCCTTAATTCATTTAACGATTTTAACTGCCATGATCATTATTTGTGACCTTCTCAACTAGCTTCCAACAAGCAAAGTCAACAGGGAAAGCTGGATTGACTTAATCACTGTGTGATTCACATAATTACTACGGTGATTCACTTAATCACTGCAAAAATGGTCATAAACATAGGTGTGTCTCACTTAACTACTGCTTCATTTAGTGATGAAAGTTCTGGTCGTAATTGTGGTTATAAGTCAAATATTTAATATGAAAAAGATCAACCATCTGCAAACTAAGCTGCAGAAATTAGTTTTCATCAAGAAAGTTTTTCCAAGATTTTTTCCTCACTTCTCTATCATATCAGCCTTCTCCTTTTTTATTTGATTTTGTTTTAATATTCACCACGATTTATAAAAGGAATATTTCTTAAGGCTTCTGTTTCTTCTCATATGATGGAGAAGAGAGCCAATTGCTTTATCACAATTACCAAGGGGAAAGCTCTACAGTAAAGGGATCATGGATAAGAGTTCCCAGAAATCAATTCTATATGTAAAAGCAAAAATGTTTTATCTTTGCCAGTTTTATGTGAAACTTATTTTTTTCCAGCTAAAAGATAAATACAGTAATGCAAACAGAGAGGATAGATGGAAGGAAATCCCTTAAATGTTGACATGACTAAGGTTTGGGGGATGTTAACATTGGTCTCTTATCATAGATAGATCACACTCTAGAGTTCTCTAGAGTTACCTTCCACTGCGAGGAAAAGCCTATTTGATTAGTCTGCCACATATAACTAATGGACCTAAAGGATTGGCAGAGAGAACTTGAAATTCTTTCCGAAGCTTTGGATCACAATCCTATCTGAGGCCTTAGTCACAATTTGGAATAAGTGAACAACGATGGACTTAAATCAGATGGTATCAATGAAGTCTCTGAGTGATCATGGAGCTCTCACTGATATTCAGAGAAACTTCAGGAGATGAAATAATATAAGAAACATCTAAAGTGCCATTGCAAGAAGACCAAAAATGAATTTAATTGAGAATAGGTAGGAATCTTAGGTATTATCTTGTAGCAATAAGATGGTGAAGCAAGCTTTCTTTCCCACTCTTATTGCATCTTCAGATAGCCATATTGTGGATGACCAGATACCTTCTTGATATGGGATGGAGAGAGAGAGCTTGCTGGGCCACTGTGATGATTTCTCTAGGTATCTGTCAGAGAAAGTGGACATGCTACTTGAGTTTTAGATCCCTATCCCTCCTTGTTGGTCAAGGCTTCCCAATAGGTGAGATGTCGTTAGTTCAAGTAGTTATTACTACTTCTTTCTAGTACAGGGTAGTTCCACCTTCCTTGAGGAGGCAGTGGTCAGTTACCTCTTCAAGAAGTTATCTTTGCATTCAGCAATATTGGAAAATTTTCATTAATTCTTTCTCTTTTTTAGAAAAGGGGAAAAACAGATCCTCAAAGTCATTTCAAACCATGAAATAGGCAGCAAAAAATTAATAATAATAATAATAATAATAATAATAATAATAATAATAATAATAATAATGACGACGACGACGACTGGATAATCAAGTGCCTAAAAATAACAGGAGTCAGTAGAAACATCAAAAACTTTGTGCAAAGATGGATGGCACAATGAAAGATACAGTTGATGGTCAATGGTGATAGGAGAGATTAATAGAGAAAATAGTAAAAACTGAAGGAATCAAGATGCCCTATGGAAATAATATCAAGAGTCTGAATGAAGATGATCAGTATACAGACCTGAGCATCCTTCAACTTGACATCAAGCACACTGAGGTTAGGAAAAAGGTTAGAAATGAATATATCAAGAGAGGGAAGATTTTAAAATCCAAACTCAGCAGAGGAAATACCATCAAGGAAATCAACACCTGGGCAATTCCAGTCATTATATATGTAGCTAAAATAGTGGACTGGACTCAAGCTGACTAAACAACAACTTTATTATCACTTTAAATGTGCACCAATTGGCATACATCAAAATGAAATTTCGTTGCATACAGCTCTCAAAGGGTCACCACCTTCAATATACACTCCTTGTTTATGGACAGCTCAAGTTTCAGATGATCCATTTTAGTCTCTAGGGAGCGGAAGACGGTAATGGAGCTCTATGTGGATTAGCCCTCAAATTAGCTTGTATTCCTGCACGACAACCTTGCCTACTTTCCTTTTTCTGATCCTGTCTCTTCCACCTTTTCCTTTAAGAGGCCGTGCTTCTTTTCGTCCCTGGAGCATGCTGCCGCCTCCACCAACTCCTCCAAAAGCCTCTCTCTCTTCCTCTGGGCCTGCCAACAGCCTCATCCATTTCCTTCGCTCCGTAAACCCTGGGACCTTTTCTCCTCTGCCTCCTTTGGAAACAGCCCTGAATTGCAATAAAATCCGTCACTGGGCCAGCAATCAGATCTTGCTGCTGGCAGAACAATTTCAAACAGCACCAACAACTTTTAAAGGTCTCACCAACATTTCCGAAACAGCTAGAAAATTGCCATGCCCACAGATTGTCGGTCATATGTTACCTTAGTTCCACCATGTTGCTCAAACACATCAAAACCTTCCTGATCATGTGGCCCATATCCCTTAATATCTCTCCCCAAACTTTTCACCTTTGAGAGCCAATTCAGCCACAGCCCATCCAGACACTGCCATCTTAGAACCAAAAGCCTTGGATAGGAAGACTAGAGAAATATTGACAATGAATCATGCTCTTCATCCTCACAGTGACATTGACAAATTCTACTTACCAACGAAAATGGGTGGGTGTGAAATTTTGCAAGTACATTAGATGGTTGTAGAAGAAAAAAGGGCATTGGAAGAATACCTGAAGGATAATGAAGAAGATGCATGAAGCTAGTATACTAAGAAGGCCTACTGTAAGGACCCACCCCTCTTTGCATCTTAAGAAGACAGAACTCTTGGAATCTTTCTTCCAACAGGCATGTTTATTAAGAGAAACTGGTTGCAGGCATTCTAGACAGGACTTGGGGACCAAGCCCTACGGTTCAAGGTTTTAAGGGGTCCCCAGCAGCCCAGCCCACCCCACCATCTTTCCAGCGGCAATCTCAGGGGTTACATTTCCACCCCCTTTTCTTCACTGCCAGTGCAAGGGAGACTTCAGAGAGGAGCAGATCAAAGCTGATGGCCCCATTGTTAGTCCTTTTGGTGAAATCCACATTCACTCCCCTTTGAAGCTGTAGTGAAGGAAATGAGGGCCATAAAGCCCCTTTCTTCACCCCCCCTTCCCCTTCATCGTATGACAGAATCCAGCGAGGGCAGAAATGGGGTTTTCCATAGTCAATAACTAGAGATGAAATATAATTGGATTCTGACATTGTGCCCCCTTAAAAATAAGATAGATCCACCTGAAAGAAACAAAACAGGTATAAAAGTTAGTCAGGCTTGTTAGGATACTCTGTGTGAAACTTC